CCAATCCTATCCAGGTAGATTTGAATCTGCCGAACAGATTTCCTGGTTTCATCCAGCGCCTCATTCCAGACCCACCACTTGGACCGCTGACCATTCAAAGCAGCCCARTTCCGGTGYTCCTTGTCGTACCAGTCCCTCACGGCTCCTATTTCTTGTTGCCAGCAGTTCAGTCTAATGGCTAGAATCTGATGACTGTCRTGCAGTGGTAGAGTCCTGCAATAATCGCAATGTTTTAGTATAACGTTRGACTTGAATATAGAGTTTCRCGCGCTGTGATTGGTCGAGCGACCAGTAATTCTGAGACGATAATCACTGTTCGAGCGGTGATAATGAGGTATGAATATTCCCYGATAACCACTTCGCCTTTGKCGAACAATTGTTAAATAAAGTAATACGAAACCTGACGTCATAATGTACCTGTGACATCATAATCGTGATGACGTCASTATGCTACCACAATTAGAATCTTTCAACAACTCTCATTTAGTGCTACATCAGTAAGAAACCAAAACCAACATGGCGGCTATGACGTCACATGCACAACAAGAAGAGAGGGATTGGATGTCAATCAATGCAGTGTGTGTAAAGTAACGGGTTAGTTTACCTTGCAGGATCATTTCTATCAATCATTCCTCGTCTCAGTACTTCCTCGTCATCTACTTTCAGCTCCAGGACCTTGACCGGGATGATTTTCCTGTCAGTCATCAGTTCGACTTGTTTTGCGGTCACTGGATAACCATCAAGTACGAATCTGGAATRCAATACCATAGATAAGGATACTACTAAGGCTAATAACAATTCATTGGGTGACTAGAACTAGGGAGCTTTCATTTATTAGCACATGGAGGGTGGGGGGGGAGGTCGGCAAAATCACACAGTAAACTTTACGAACATAACCCGAACCACCATCCCTGCAATAGTTCTCAACCCCCCTCCATGTGTGATAACCCCTAACCACTTTCTCAAAATAACAGCATAACGTTACCCCGTAAAGGCCACTTACACAAGTAATTTTCATCTAGACCAACTTAGTAATTACTAGCAAGTTAAGACATGAAACGAGAAAGGCGGCCTATTTAATCTTCAAAGCTTTCGCTGTTGTATCACAGCGTGGGACAATCACAACAGAGCTAGGCTCCAAACTAGGTGAAAGCCCAAAGATCGAATTAGAATTTAAAAGTTGATTTTTAAGGAGGGAGGAAAACCGGAGAACCCGGAGAAAAGCCCTCGAAGCACARGAGAGAACCAACAAACAACTCTACTCACATACGATATCGAGATCGGCAGGACTCGAACTCAGGCCGCATTGGTGAGAGGAAGCGCATTATCAGCGCACGCCGCCGGTGCCGCGTGGCACAAAAGGGGCACCATGTATTTTGGGAGGCAATCAGAATGCGCCTACGCTAAAGAACACAATAAACTGTATATACTTACCCTCGGGTCTGACACTGCATGTCGAGTAAGACCACCTCTAAAGCCTGCACAGCCAGTTCATCAGGAACAGTGTTACCAGTCCTCAGGTGGATGTTGATCTGTTTTGCTAGTTCCGTGTGCTTTTGATTCTCAAGGAGCCTTCGTAAGGCCTCTCCGATGGATAAACGCACGACGCCATACTCCGAAGCAAATCGTTTGGCCACTGAATAGATAGCGAAAAAGAATCTTAATGAATCAGCAGAGGCAAGAGAAAATGAACTACGAGAAGGAATCTCTGGTATTCATGCTGCTATTTTTAGAATCACATTTGCGATCGTTTGTTTTTCTCTACGCTGTTTGCTCACGTTTTCTTTTGAAAAGTACATGGAAACATGAGTAAACAGCGCAAAGCGCGTGAATTTTGAGCGTGTAGAAAAAGAAACGATCAAATGAGTGATTCTAATAATAGCATCAATGATTCTAAAAATAGCATCAATGAGTCTAAAAATAGCATCAATGAGTCTAAAAATAGCATCAATGAGTCTAAAAATAGCATCAA